TAAAGCCCTACATGGCTTGGGACTGGGTTACCTAGGGGGCCATATTTTCCCAATAGTTTCTACCCATTCGATTTGGTCCGGCAGGTTGGGCATACTGCAGGCCCCATCGGTCAAGAAATGTCAGCTGGCAGGGACCAGGAGATGTGCCTTCTCTGCTGTAGCCCCTGCCCTTTGGAACATCCTCCCTTCAGAGATTAGGATGGCCCCAACCCTGTTGACTTTTCATAAGACTTTAAAGACCTGGCTATGTGCTCAGGTCTGGGCCCCCAAATGCGTTAAGGGCCCTGTCTCCTGGCTAAACTGATAATTATTAGGATAATTTTCTCGGCTGCCATGTATATTTATTTTTGTATTGTTTTTCATTGTTTTAGAATTGTTCACCACCCAGAGTCACTTGGTTGAGATGGGTGGCCACAGAAATTAAATAAATAAATAAATAAATTTTGAATCCAAATAACCTCAGGGATGTTTCACCAGCAATAATCTTGAGAGAGGAGCTCTAATCAACAAACTGCAGCATCTACAGCTACAGCGTCTGCCAAGGACTCACTAGAAGTAAAGTGATTGACTCATTTGGTGCACTGCCAGATTCAGAGCAAGCAGACACCATACAGAGATTGGATGAATTAAGAGAAACATTGGTGACAATATGCTCCACAGTGAAAACATTAATTAATCTGGTCCTACCATGTACTCAGGACTATGGCAATAAACTCAATCAGCAAATTGCAAATGCTGCCACAGCCACAAAAAGCCTAGGCACACAGACCACCAATGGAGAATCTTTAACGTCCAACCCAGCCGAATTGAAACCTTTAATGTCCAACCCAGCGACCACATAGATAGATTTTCTCCAAGACGATCTACCTGTAGCCTGGCCTTTTAGATCTCCCAATGGGGTGCTCATCACCACTGTAACTGAGTCCATCCACCTTCCTGTTGGTTGTCCTCTTCTCTTTCCTTCCACCCTTTCCAGCATCACAGCCTTCTCCAGAGAGCTTCACACTCCTGCTTACTTGGCCATTGTCTTCATTGAAGAACAACAACAAAAACCCTCAGATGTGGGTATCAGTAATGTAAGTTATTCTAAGTGAAAAATATTGCATTGACAAGGACATAAGGAAACAGAAGGACTCCAACCAATTTACATTGCAAATTTAAACACAAATGTTGAATCCACTTGATTCCAAATATCAATCATAATTAAGCCAAATAAACATATAAACACACTTTCTGGGATGGCTCATTAAAACGAGGCTGGCTAGTTTGCGGCTAGGTGGAACGCAGAGAACTGGGTTAACTGAGTGAAAGCTTTGTACCTCCACGGAGCATTTCAACGCTAATGATTTATAGCGTCTTCATACCACCACCTAATCATCGCTGGAGCGATATAAAACTTGGCCGACTCGCTTACTTTGGCGCAAGGCGCAACCCCGCTGCCTTCGGGGGCTTTTCTTGCTCGGGCGTTCCCCGAAAGCGGTGGAGAGACCGGCTCAACGGCTCCTCCGGTTACCGCTTGCCCACTCGCTCACTAGGACCCAACG